GATGAATTGAATTAGGATGTGTGCCTTTCCATCCCACACCTGACACTGGTGGTATCTGTTGAGTTTCCAACCCAGTCACCTCCTCATTAGATTTCAGGAAGACCAACTAGTGGCTCCATTAAAATTTCCTGAATTATTTTGGCTTCACCCTTAAGCGATTGCTTGATTGGCTTATTTCCCTTGAGACCAAACATTTTTCTGTGGTGGGAAGAGTGAAAATTAACAGCTTCTGGAACACAGAACAACTGGAGGGATTCTGGAAAGAACTCTCCCATTTGCTGAGGCTCTTCTTAGAAGGAAGTCCTGTATTCTAAATAGTGCCTGAATTTACCTCTGGTTACTTTCAAGTTAAAGGGGTGAAAAGAAGTCAGCAACAATGCTTACTATTAAAAGAAATGAGATGTAAGCTGGTAAGTTAGTGCTCACAAGTTCAGGCAAACAGCATGTTGTTTCTGGGGAAACAGAGAACACATACATAAAAGTCAACAGTTCATAACTTCTTCAGAAATTTCTTCTTGTCAACAAATCATCTGTACTTTTGCATTTTACTTTTCTGATTGTATGTTTGTACAAGAAATGTGAACAAAAGGATTTTAAAATATTGGATATTCCTTCATTTAAGTCTTTTTAATTAATTAGTTGTGTGTGTGTGTGTGTGTGTGTGTGTGTGTGTGTGTGTAGGCCATGCATGTGTAGGTGCTTTTGGAGGCTAGAAGAGGGCACTGGATACCCTGGAGCTATAGTTACAGGGAGTCATGAGCTGCCCCATACAGGTGCTGGGAACCAAATTCAGGTCCTCTGGACAGCAGCTGGCACTGCTCTTAATTGCTGACCATCGCTCTAGCCTCTGGTCTTCATTTTTTGTCTCTACTACATAAAATGGTTAAAGAAAGTGGGGAACTTTTTAAAATTCGTGCTACCTTGGTTTCAAGTTTTTCTGCATCTGTTCTTCACAGCTGGGTAAAGGCTATCCTCCTTTTCCTGGTGCCTAACATCAGGAAGTGTTTGTCCCTGGTCTTACTTTGCCCTCTTAAATCAACCATGCACCTACTTAGTTGTTCAAAATATATTTATTGAGTTTGTTCATGTCAATTTTTATTATACTTGGTGCTAGATTTGTGGTAATAAATGCAGAACAGAATTCTTGGGGCTGGAGAGATGGTTCAGCGGTTAAGAGCACTGACTGCTCTTTCAGAGGACCCTGGATCAATTTCCAATACCCACATGGTGGCCAAGAACTGTCTTAGGCATCCTTAAGCCCAGGGAAATCCAATTCCCTCTTCTGACCTCCGAGGCATTGCATGACACTGGTGCACTCACATGCAAGCAATACACTCATACACGTAAAATAAAAATAAATAAAATATTTTTAAAAGCCTGTAATTCCTACCCCCATAGTACTTACAGTTTTGAAGAGACAAAAATTTTTAAGTATTTGTAAGGGCAGACATGTCTATATGTGTATATTTATGTACATTTATACATATAATACACAAATTTGGAATTGTGATAAACTTTGTGTTTTGGGGAATGTCCTTCCTGAAGAAAGCCATATTGAGATGGGTTTGGCTAAGAAGACAAAAGAAAAGATTCCGAAATGCCAGGCATAGTGGCTCACACATCATCCCAGCACGTGCGAGATGAGGCAGTAGGATCATCGTGAATTTGAGGTCAGCCTGGGTTACACAGTTTCTTGGGAAGCCTTGGGTTAAGACCCTGTTTCAAAAAATTACAAAACAAAATGACAACAAAGGAATGAAGGGAGAAAGTCAGGGAAGGAGGAAGTAAGAAAGAAGAGAAGAAAAAAGAAAACAAAAATAATTCCTATTTGAAGATGCTTAGAGAGAGTGACCAATTTGATGAAAGGACAGCAACTGAGAAGAGCAAGAAGGAGCCATGTGGACATCAAGGTCTGTGGAGCTCAGCTGATGGGAGAGTTTAAGCGGGACCATGCAAAGAAATGAGTTTCGGTTTAAAAGGATCACTGTAGTTGTTGAGGGGATAACTAGCTGATTTGAGGGAATCAAGAAGAGAGGCATTTGTTATCAAAACAGAGCACTGGAGGGGAGATGGGTGGAGAGATCCAAGTTCTCTCTTGGAAGAACAATGGGACTTGTTGATTGGATGCAGAAATCAGGGGAGAGGGAGGCGGGCAACACTGACTCTTCCCCCTCTAATTTGTGTCCTGACTGCTTAGTGATTTCACTTCAGGTGACCTTTCTCCTTGGACTGTGTCACTTGTCTTACGGTCAGTCGAAAATAAGCTGAGCTTGTTTTTCCATTTGTTCCAGGGCCAGACAGAGCTAGAAAGACCAGAAAGTGACCTTTCTCCTTGGACTGTGTCACTTGTCTTACGGTCAGTCGAAAATAAACTGAGCTTGTTTTCCATTTGTTCCAGGGCCAGACAGAGCTAGAAAGACCAGAAGTTTCACATGTGGTATCTCAGGATGGATAAATACCTGGAGGAACTTATTAACTTTAACTCTTCTCCAAACAAATAATTTGGAAGTGACTGAAACCACATTCTTTAGCAGTGAATATTTGAGTTTTATATTACATGCGATGAACCGTTAGAGACATCAAGTGAGTTCTTTTATAAATTTCTATTTCTTTTTAGTAGTGAGTTGGCTTCATTCCTTCATTAGCATCAACAAAAAAAAAACTTGTGGCCTGAAATTTTTCTTCATCCAGGTCTGAGATTTCTTTTTTTAAATTCACTTGTCCTATACTGATTGGTTTACCCCAAGACGTGGATAAGAAATTTCATTCTTGGTGTTTGGTCTCCTTTCTCTCTGCTGCTGTAGATATCTGAAGTGTACCTTAAATAATGAGTCACCATTCGGGTGCCTTCCACAAGGGACTTTGTTTCTTTTCAAAATGCTTTTTAACAGGTTTTATTAGCACAAAGCCATACTAATAAGCATAATCACTACTATATATTGATTGTTTGGAAACTCTGTTTAGTTCTTTTCAGATATAATCTCAAAAGAGAGGGTGGCACTATCCTCTATCAAAGTCATGTGGTTGTGAAGATGGACTCTGATCCTGAGGGTGGAGAGGTGGGCTTGTTTCCAAGCCAGAGCTGTTGACCATGACCTTGGGTATCTGAGAAGTGTTCTTGGTAACCTAAGGTTCTCTATGGTAGCCACACTCTATGCCTTGACCTATGATTAACTTCTGTGGGGTAATGGGAAGTCACTTTTAACAGTTGAGGGGGAAACAGTGTCCAGGTCCAACATCCCACAGATATGTCCTCTTTGACCCTTTCTTTTTAGTTTTCCCCTAGCTGCACTGAAAGAAGAAATCTTTTCCTACAACTTTGCATTTCTTCTTCCTTCTCTAAGTCAAAAACGGTGACTGAGTCACCATGGTTGGTAAAGTAATGATCAGTGATATGGTTTAATTAATTAAAAGAGTGTATACTAGGCTTGGTTCTGCCATGCAATGATTGTTTCCTAATGTTTAACTATGGAGGCTATCAAAAATAAACCACTAACTGCTTCTTCATGTCAAACTGCAGTGGCTGGTTGGTACTAAGCCTTTGTATAATCTGTGTTAGTTGGCGTTTAGTCCTGAACTAAGGGAGGAGCTAAGGATTCACTCATTAGACACACAGGTATTGAGGGTCCTCTGTGTTCCTGGGGCCAATGTGAAAATATAATGATGAGATTTAGAAAATCTGGAGTCAGCAAATGGGTTCAAACCTTACTCTGCCCCCATAGTAATTGTGAAGCTTGATGAACTACTTTGTCTCTCTATACCTCATCCAATAGTTATGGTTAGTCAGTACTAGCCATCCAATAGTATGGCTAGTGTTAGCTGGGTTACATAGGCATGAGTAGATAGAACCTAGAATGATGCCTTGCACATCATAAGTGCTCAGAGAGTATCACCTATTATTACCATGGACAAGAAGAACACTATACCTCAATGAAGTGTATTTCAATAAACATCCAACAAGTACACTAATGCACATGTACACTCACATCTACCTATCATTTAGTTAGCTATTGTCTATCTATTTCTCTATCTATTTCTATCTAGAGAGTGATTTTTTTTGAGACAGAGCCTCATTGTGTAGCCCTGGTTGGCCTAGAACTTGCACTGTGGACCAGGTTGGCCTTGAACTCAGAGAGACCCATTTGCCTCTGTCTCCTAAGCACTAGGTTAAAGGTATGTGCCACCAGGTCTGGCTGAGAATAATGATTTTCAATATCAGGGGTAAATCTAGAGAGTCATTCTAAAATTATTTTTATAGAACAATATATTTTTATAGAATACCAACTGGAAAGTCAACATCAATCTATTTGATTTGGGGGGAAAGTAGTGACTTCCAGACTAGAAGGAGGAAGAAAGTTATAACATCATTCCTCATGCCTAAAATTTATGCCAGAGGGGCCTGGTAAAATAAACAAGCTTGAACCAAAGGCTTTTGATACCTCTTGATGTTTCCATAATATAGGAATGTATGAAAGACTTGAGTTTTGTCTATATAAATATAGACAGTACTGCAGTCCAGCACCAAGTGGATTTTACCGGTGAAGACAGATACCACCTAGTGAACAGAGAGGTAGGCTGGACAGAGCCACCTTGAAAGCCAGCCCCTGTAGCAATGTTGCTGTTTGCTGAGTGTCCAGCAGCTGGTTTGGGGCTGAGGTTTGGTACAGTGTCCATTGTAGAGCCACTGTAGCAAATGCGGGCCTGGATCTCGCTAAATACTCAGCATGGGGTATGTGGATGGGCCTAACCCTAGGGGTCAGGGTCTTCCAACAGGTAAGCAGAATATGAGATGTAGAGAGATGGAGGCGAAGGGGGAGGTGAAGTCAAAGTTCAACAAGATTGGCTGGCAGCTGAGAGCATTAGCAGGGAGCAGGGTCCTAATCTCTGGACTTGGCTCAAAGAAGGGAATGGGTCAGAGCAAGGCGAGGCTTGTTTACAGACCTTGAGCTCCAGTTCCTGTACAACCTAGGTCTATGAGGCAGGAGTAATTGCTAAGAACCTATCATGGTAACCCAGAAGGACTCAAGCCACTCTATTCAAGACTCTCTTTCCCTGAAGGTGGGATTGGGCTTTACCAGAAAGGTCAGATGTCACTTGTGGTGAGTAAGAGGCAGGTGCAGAGGCTAAGAAATCCATAATCTCTAGAGACAACTTCTACTTTATATTTAATTAATCCTCATTTACCGTATTGATTAGTTTTTTAAAAATTAGTATATGTTATTAAAATGGTACCCTGCATCTAGGAACCATATGACCTAAAATGTTCAGGGGAACCTAAATTTGAGTCAGTTTGTCTAATCCACAGGAGTCATAAAGCTAATTTATGTCTGCATATGCGTGTGTGTGTACATCTGTACATGGGCATGCAGAGGCCAGAGGAGAATATCAAGTGTCCTCTGTCACTCTTTGCCTTATTTGCTTGAGATAAGGTTGCTCATTAAACCCAGATCTTGCTGTTCTTTGGCTAGGCTTACAGTGAGCAAGCTCCAGTGATCCTACTCTTCCTCCCTCCCCCCAGGCACTAGAATTACAAGCATGAGTGAGTACCATGCCTTGCTTCATATGTGGTTGCTGGAGTCCACACTCAGGACCTCATACTTACATAGCAAACACTTATTCTTACTAAATAATCTCCCCAGCTCCCCACAACTCATTTAAAATAATTTTATGTCTTTTCTTATAAATTGACAGATGGAAAGCAATCCTTTACACTTCTCATTCTTTGTTCTTGGTTTGAAAATCAGTCCCTATATTATTGAGGAGTTCTGATGTGTGTGTGTGTGTGTGTGTGTGTGTGTGTGTGTGTGTATGTGTGTGTGTGTGTGTTTCTTTATGAAAAATGCATTTTAAATGCTCAACAGCTACACTGGACATTCTTTTCAGGAAAGATCTGTCTGGAACATACTGGGTACAGAATGGTGCCCAGGAAATGTCAAATGTAGCCAAGAACAGGGCAAGACTCTTAAGGCATAGTCTTTCCAAAATTATCATTGGCATAGAAAAAGACTCCCCCTCCATCAGCTAGAAGGGTTCACTAGGCAAATATGACTCAATCAGTTCCTCTTCCTCTTTTCTCCCTCAGCCCCTTAGGATTCTCTTCTTTTATCATTGCATAGCCGATGTCACAATCATCCCTGAGGGCATCTAAGTCAAACATCTTGAGTTGATCCTGCTGCAAGGAAAAATTTGTGCTTCAGTGGAAATCTGTGCAGTGTGTAGAGGTCGCTGTCTGGATGGTCTGATTCGGTGGGAGCTCCTCAACAGCTCTGTAATTGCCTGTAACTCATAGGATGTAAAATAATTCTTTTTTTTTTTTTTTTTGGTATTTTTTGAGACAGGGTCTCCTTGTAGCCCCAGCTGTCCTAGAACTCACTATGTAGACCAGGCTGGCTGTGAGCTCACAAAGATCTGCTTGCCTCTGCCTCCCAAGTGCTGGGATTAAAGGCGTGCACCACCATGCCCAGCCAGGATGTAAAATAATTCTTGTCTATAGATATGCAAACTCTGTCCTACCTTGTAGAGGTACAATTGAGCTCTCTCCCCCACTGTGGGAGGAAGCTAGTTTTAACTCCATTTGCACATTCATTTCAATATTCCTGACCTATAAAGGTGTGTTTTTCAATTTCTCCCTTGAACTAGATATAACATCTGCCTGGCTCCTTCTTTATGAGTAAAATAAAATCGTTAACATGTGTTCATTTTATATTCTCATGAGTCATGATTATATCTTTTTTTGGAAAATGGTTTTCTAACGTTAACTTCTCTTTTATTTTTATTTGTAGTTTCTCACCCTTGGTATGTATTTTTAAGAATGTCTCTCTAATCTCTTGCATTCTCTGCAAAATATTGCTGTTATCTCAGCTGAGGTCAGTATATTAGTTACTTTTCTTACTGTTATGACCAAATCCTTGACAAGATGGAATTTGAGAAAGGAAAGGTTTGTTTTGGCTTGCCTTTTGAGGTCCTGTGGTGGGCACATGAGGTGGTTACACTGTGGTATCAGGAAGCAGACAGAGATGAATGCTGGTGCTCATCTTAATTAGTTTTTCTTTCTCCTTTTTAAAAAATATTTTATTTATTATTTTTATTTTATGTGTTTGCATGTATTGCCTGCATGTAGGTAAGTGCACCAGTGTTGTGCAATGCCCACAGAGGACAGAAGTGGCTCTCAGATCCCCTGGAACTGGGGTTATGGACAGCTGTTAGCTGCCATGTGGGTGCTGGGATTCAAACGTGGGTCTTCTGCAAGAACAATCAGTGTTCTTAACCGCTGAGCCATCTCTCCAGCCCCATCTTTCTCTTTTTTAAATTCAATCTGGGCCCCTAGTCCATAGAATGTTGCAACCCACATTCAGGATCAGTCTTTCTTTTTTCCTCCTCAGTTAAACCTTTCTGGAAACATCTGCATAGACACATCCAGAAGGAGTTTTTCTTTTTAAGCAGGATCTCATTTATTCCAGGCTGATTTCAAACTCACTGTGTATTTGAAGATGGATTTGAACTTGGGATCTTCCTACCTCAACCTCCTAAATGCTTTTTATAGGCATTTACTGCTTGGTCAATTTATGCAGTGTTAGAGAATGTGGTGGTTTGAATGAGAAACGTTTCCCTATAGGCTCAGGTATTTGAATACTCAGGCCCCTTTTGGTGGTGCTGTGTGGAGGTTATGGAGGTTATGGCTTGCTGGAGGAAGTATGTCAGTGGGGTAGCCTTTGAGAGTTCATAACCCCTTCCCTCTTCCAGTTCACTCTCTGCTTTGTGTTTGCAGCTGAAGATGTGATGTCTCAGCTTCTGGCTCCTGATGCCCTGCCTGCCTGGCACTTGCTGCAGTGCCTCATCTGTCTTTATGAACTCCCCCTCTGGAACCATAAGCCAAAATAAACTTTTTTCCATAAGTTGCTTTTGGTCATGATTTTTTTTTTTATCACAGCTACAGAAAAGAAACTAATCCAGGGATGGACCCAGGGCTTTGTACATACTAGGCAAGCAGTCTACCAAATGAGCCGCATCCTCAGCCTACCCTCTTAAGTGATTATCTAGTCACATTGATTATGAAGATTAACCTCATAGTTTCATTTTTCACATAAATCATCACAACAACATCCTAGTTGGTACCCTACATTTAACCTTGAGTTCCACTTGTTTTTCCACATTCTACTGTATACATGTTAGTTCTTTTTTCTTCTTTGAGTTAATTTAAGGGTTTATACCAACCATAGACCTTTGACAAAGTGAAGAAGTTGGGCCTTTAAGACACATTGTGAGCCATGTTCTGCTAGACCTTCATAATGATGCTCTCTAATCTTTGCTTCCAACCTGATATCATTGTGTTTGTGTGTGTGTGTGTGTGTGTGTGTGTATGTGTGTGTGTGTGCGTGTGTAGATATGTGCATGGATACATGCAGGTGCATTTGCTCATGTGTGCACACTTATGTGGAGGACAGAGGTCAATGTTGGGTGTCTTCCTCAGTTGCTCTCTGCTTTCTTCTTTGAAACAGGGTCTTTCACTGAACTTGGAGACCATCTATTAGCCAGGCTAGCCATCAATTTTCAAGGATCTACCTGTCTCCACCCCTGCCCCAGCGCTAAAGTGTGTGACTTTTACACAGATGCTGGGGTTCTGACCTCAAGTCCTTGTGCTTACAGGACAAATATTTGACCAACTGAGCCATTTCTCCAATTCACTTTTACTTCTTATTTTTAATTTTTTATGTGTATGAATGTATTGCCTGCATGTATGTAATTGCACCCATGTCATGCAGTGCTCATGGGGGCCAGGTGAAGGTGTTGGATCCCCTAGAACTAGAGTTAAAGCTGGTTCTTAGTCGTCATGTGGGTGCTGGGATTCCAACCCAGGTTATTTGTAAGAGCTACCAGTGCTCTTAATCACTGAGCCATCTCTCCAGCCCCCCACGCCCCATTCACTTTTAATGCCTTGCACATCCTACTTACTTCTGGGCCTCCCTCATGCTCTTACTTCTTTCTGTCTGTCCTGCTTTTCCTACCTTCACTGGGCTAGCTCCCGGGCATCCACTCTCTTTCAGCTCGGATCTCATATGTCACTTGCTTTCAGAGGCCCTTCTCTGTTGTCTGCCCTGTTCAACAAGTAAGATGATACTGAGGGCTGTATCCAGTCCTCTAGAGCACTGAAGTTTCCATGATGACAGAGACTATCATCTTAACTCTGTAACCTCATTGCAGTTTTGAGCTCCCATGGCTATTTATGAGATGCATGTGACTAGGGTTTAGCTGTTGAGGGTGGCCTATGTTAGCAGTGCTGATTTTTTTTTTTTCTGCTAAGATTTTGCCATATTATTAAAAGTAGAATTTGGTGGTACCCCAAATTTATCTTCCCCCAAATCTTTTTTAAAAAATTTTATTATTTTTATTTTATGTGTATGCATGTGTTGCCTGCATGTATGTAAGTGCATCCATGTTGTGCAATGCCTGCAGAGGACAGAAAAGGCTGTCGGATCCCCTGGAACTGGAGTTATGGACAGTTGTTAGCTGCCACGTGGGTGCTGGGATTAGAAACCAGATCTTCTGTGAAAACAGTTAGTGTTCTTAACTGCTGAACCATCTCTCCAGCCACAAAGTCTCTTTTTTAAAACAAACAAATAATAATAATAAAAAAAACAAAGAAATTAATCTGTGTTTTTAGAGCACAGAGCCAGGAAGGTTATTGGCAGAGTTGGTCTTGCAACCTGACTGAAGATGTAATTAAGGAGACTGAATTTTAGGGTCTTGCAACTCAAAGTGTGGTTTTGTGGGACCACAGTATTTGTATCCCTTGGGCACTTGTTATAAATGCAGAATTTCAGGCCCCAAACCTAGATCTCCTCGGTTAGAAGCTGCATTTAGTAAGATGCTATGTGATCTGAAGATATGTATTTGCTAGCTGAACGATCTTGGACAAGTTATTTGCCTACCACACAGATACTTTGACAATTACAGAGTAGAGTTCCTATTTTATATGACCCCCAGGTCATATAAAATAGACACATATGATGTTTCTATTTGAGGGTCATATTCAAGAGGGTTTTATGATTATTACCAGAATGAAAGTCAAGGCCAAGACATCAAGCCTGCCTATGAATGGTTTTCCATGCAAGTAAATGGCTTAGGAGTTTCTTCCTGGTTGTTCACAGTAAATTTCTTGTACTTTTGAGGCAGGAAAGTAGGTTGGAGGGTGAAGGTTCTGAAAGCCTTACACAACCGCTACAAAATTACCATTCAGGAAACCCAGCTGGCAAGAGGAAGACTGGAAACACACACACACACAGACACACACATACCCCCCCCCACACACATACCCACACACACTCTCACACACACACACACACACACACACAAAAAAAAAAATTAGAACAGGCTGGAGTTACTGGCAGAAACAGAGGCACTCTAGAGTATCTGAAGGTGGTCTTTGTTCATTATAATATTTAAATGCATACCCCTAGTAGAAATTTAACATGTTAATGAGATTGGGCATGGCAATGCATGTTTTAATCCCAGCACTCAAGATGCTGAGGCAGGGAGATCTCTACGAGCTTGAGGACAGCCTGACTACATAGCAATTTCCAGGCCACCAGAGTTGCAAATTGAGACCCTGACTCAAAAACCAAAATCAAACCAAATGGGAACAAAACAAAAAGAAGATATGTACAATGCATGAAATTGTATGTAGAACTACATGTAACAGATAGGGCATGCTCAAGAAAGTTCACATTATGGAAATAGCACCTAAGTTGCAAACTATGTTAGATAAAATCTCCATCCTTTGTACATCATGGCCATACGAGCTACTAAACTTTTTCTCTGTTCTGCCTTAGTCTCTCTCTCTCTTTCTCTCTCTCTCTCTCTATTTATTTTTACTTTTAATTGTGAGTATATATGTGTGGGTATGTGCACATGTGAGTGCAGTGCCCACAGTCTAGAGGAGGGCATTAGATTACCTGGAGCTGGAGTTACAGGTGGTTGTGAGCTGCCCGACATGAGTGCTAGGAACTGAACTTGGGTCCTCTGTAAGAGTAGTATGTGCTTTTGACAGCTGAGCCATCTCTGTAGCTCCAAGTGTACAATATATCTTGTTTTTTAATTAAATTTTTATAAATTTCATAAAATACATCTTGATCATATTTAGAACCCTTTCCCTATCTGTACCACTCTGTAGCCCCCCACTGGATTTCATGAATTCTGTCATATACATTAAAGCTTATTTAGTCATATTTGTGTCCCCAAATGTCCCTTGGTATAAGTCAATCCACTAGAACCTAGTCAATCTGTTTAGTGTCACTCCCTTAAAGAAAACCAACTCTCCCTCTACCAGCAGTCACTGGTTGCCAATGGTTCCTCAGCTAAGGTTGGGGCTTCTTACCCATTTCCACATTTCTATTCTGGGTTTTTATCTGGTTTGAGTTTGCATGGGTCTTGTGTATGCTGTCACCATTGCTGTAAGTTCAGATGAGGAAGTTCCCAGCTGCCTGGAAAACTCCATTTCCTTGCGGTCATTAACCACTCCCTCTTCCACAATGGTCCCTGAGCCTTGGATGGCAGAGAGTTGATCTAAGTGTCCCTACCCAGGGATAAGCACTATGTGGTCTCTTATATTCTCTGTTCTTTAGCCAGTCGTGACTGTCTGGGTTAGTCACCATCTGCTGCATGAGGAAGCTTCAATGATGACAGTTGAGAGATTCATTAATATTCTTTCTTTCCCTTGTTCCACTATGTTCTCTGAGGCTTAGGTATCAAGGCTGCACTGTAGCTGTGTCATTTTGGGATGGACATCTCACAGACACTTATTCTTTGTGTTTGACCAGTTGTAGAACTCTCTAATAGTTTCCACCTGCTGCAAGACACTTTTTTTGATGAGTTGATGAGAGGTACATTTGTCTGCAAATATAAGGACACATATTTACAGTACAGTAAGAAATTGCATTGGTCTACAGATGTGACAGAATTAAGTTTTTCTCTAGGATCTATGACCTCTCCAGCTATGTGTATGTGACTATTTTTACAGTACCTCTCATGAGTTCCCTCCAACTGAGTGGACTTTAAGTCCAATTATAGAGCTGTTGATTATCCCCAAGATAAAAGTGCCACTACTGCACCAATAAAGATAGTTTTCTGGGCAAGTCATCCAACCACGTAAAGAGGAAGCCCACAGAGTGGGAGAAAATCTTCACCAGCTATACATCTGGCAGAGAATTGATATCCAGAATAGACAAAGAACTCAACAAAAAAATCAAGAAAACAAATGACCCCATTAAAAAAATGGGCTATAGATCTGAACAGAGAGTACTCCAAAGAAGAATAAAAATGGCTAAGAAACACCTTAAAAAGTGTTCATCATCCTTAGCAATTAGGGAAATGCAAATCAAAACTACTTTAAAATTCCATCTTACCCTAGTCAGAATGGTTAAGAAAGATCAAGAGAACAAATGACACCAAATGCCGGTGTGGATGCAGGGAAAAGGGGAACACTCATTCACTGCTGGTGGGATTGCAAACTGGTGCAACCACTGTGGAAACTGTTAGGGTTCAGATCTGCAGCAGCCCTCTCCCCAACAGGGCTTCAAGGTCTTTGAAGTCAAGAGAAACAGACTTTTCAGTACCTTTTGGTCAAAGGCAGCATGCTCCCTCTTTGATGATCTTAAAGGATAAACAGACTCCACTGTTTGACCAGAGACCTGATCACTGCAAGGAGTCACTTCAGCACAGCATGCTTCCTCTTCGATGATCTTAAAGGATAAATAGACACCTTTTGACCCAGATCCTGGCTAATGAAGGAAGGGGGCAGTTTTAACAGAAGCTGTTCTGATAAGCCCTGGGCTCCTGCTCTCCTACCTAATTTTTCAAA